CTAACACGAGACTTTTCAGTGTGCTTTTTCCTCACTCGCACACTTCCCGGGAAAACTTCCCAGAAGGTCACCCATCCCAGAATTGCTCCAAGTCAAGCACGCTTAACTATGAAGTTCTTTCGTTCTGGGCTACTGAAAAGATGATGCATCTTATTAGTATAGGTAGTACAAATTAATTCTTATAAGCTATCATAAACTGTTCAGTCTCACACCTATACAGTCTTTGGAATCCCTCTCTTTCGGGTGTCGATTTGATTCATTCATGCATGTAACCCCCGCTGGAAGCCTGTCAAGAGCCGCTCCTTGTCTGTGCCCCTTTGCATCGGCGATCACTCCCCGCCCTTGTTAGCGCTCGGGATGTTACATAGCCCACCCCGTTTTGACAAAATGAGCTGAACTTAGCAACCCATCCATTTTTATGAGCGGGCTAGCCGGCTGCGAGCCAGCCGGCCTAAAATAAAAAAATTCATAAAATAAAATAAAAAACATAAAATTCTTAATAAAAAAACTCATAAAAATCTGCATAAAAACATAAAATTCATGAATCAGAGCACCGTACAAATTCTGCTTAAAACTGATTCTACAAGCCAACACAGAAAATAAAATAAAAATATTAATGCATGAAACTTATTACCAAGTTTAACTACAATACACACAAATGTCCAATCAAATTGAAAAATAAATAAATTACAAATTCAAAATGCTTGCTTCATTGTTTTGAAGAAGCTCCCACAACACATGAACTGCCATTGTCATTAGAGTCACCTTCATCTATATAAATCATAATTAAAAAAGAAAATAAATTAATTTTACAAAAAGAGTGATTCAAAATAAAATGCATTCAAATTAAATAAATCATTCCGCCAATTACGGGTACAAAGCAAAGCTTCAACACATTCAGGTAAGAGACTACTTCTGTATTTATTAAGGATTCGTGATGCAACAGTGGTGATAAAAATGCTTAATAAGTCACGAGCCATTAGTGATAGATAAGAATGCTTAATAAGTCACGAGCCATTAGTGATAGATTTGGAAGACGTTTAGCTTTCCCCTTCCACCATTGTAATATATCATATGTATCATTATCAAACTCCAAATTCTCCTCTCCCAAATAAACATCAAGTTGAGATTTTCCAATTTTAGCTACATTGTGGGGCTGATTATGCTTTTTCAATTCTTACCATATTTGACAATTTAAACACATAAAAATATAAGTCTTAAAAAAATACAATGTCAAGTAAATAAATTAACATTTCAAAATAAAATAGACTTACTTGGAGCTTGATTTCTGAAAATCCCTTCTCTCTTTTAGTATTGACCCACTTGTAACATAACTGCCACTTTGACTTTGAGCATTCGAAGAGGGAGGAATGTTGCATGCATACTTGTCAAAGAGATTGTATGCATTTTTCTTTATTCTTCTACTTTTGCTTCATTTGTCAATGTATTAAGTTTGGAATAACAATAAGACAAAGCAGAAGTCTTCATCCGTAGGTCAAGAAGCACTCCTAGTGCAAACACAACACTATATTCCTCCTAATATTTGTCAATTTTTTCCATCATCGTTTTAACCATGCTCTTTAAAATGACATCATCATCATTTAATGTGTTATGGAGATTACATTGAATTTGCCAAACTTGCAAAAAGTATAAGTTGGCAGTAGGATAGTATGTGTCAGACATCAACTCAGTAATATCATAAAATGACTTCAAGAACCCCTTAAGTTTTTCTCCTATAACCCATTCATCAAGTGAAGGACAATATTTATAATTTCTATCATTGAATTCAAGAATAGAAAACACACGTTGGTATATGAGAGCATTGTCAAGCATCAGATAAGTAGAATTCCATCTAGTAGGGACATCTTGGCATAAGCCTTTTTCCCACTTGATCAGTGCATTCTTTAAATGCTTTCATTCTGCTTTCCGAACCCATTACGTATTTGACACACTCTCTAATTTTATTCAAGGCAAGATTCAAAATGTGAGCAAAATAACGAACATGAAAAATTGTCCATCACATAACAACAATTACTACAAACCAAGCTGACTTTTCAAAATTTTTACATATTATCATTCGCAGATGCATTATCCAAAGTAATGAAAATAACTTCTTCTCTATTCCCCCATCATTCAATAAATCAAATATTTTGAGATAATTCAAAACCAATGTGAGGAGGAGGCATATGACAAAAGTTAAGAATCTTGCTATTTAACTTCCAATTCCTATAAATAAAATGAGTTGTTAAACATATGTAACCCTCTGTATTACAAGTTGTCCACAAATTAGAAGTTAAGCAAATCCTAGTTGGAATGCTAGACATTATATCTTTAAGGTTCTCCTTCTCTCTCACGTAAATCTTCAAGACATTACTCTTAGTAATATTTCTTGAAATTGGAATTGCATCAGGATTTGAGTAACTTATCCAACTCCTAATCCTTTCATACTCAACGAAATTGAAAGGCAAATTATGCTCAATAATTGCAAGAGCACACATCTCACATGATACCATTTGATCGATTTTCTAACTTTTCAATTTACCTTGTGTATCTATCATCATTTGACCCACATCTTCAAATTTAATATTCTTGCATTTTAGAATGTAACGTTTCAAATGCGACGTTCCATAATTTTTTCCACCAATTTTGTATTCTTGATTACAACCATTATATTTTGCCCTCTCAATTCCATCGTCCGCTACTCCTATCTTGGTAAAAAAACTTCCAATAATATGAAGTTTATGTTTTTGCCTTCTTCTTTATGGATTCAACAACAAATTGAGTTTCTTCATTCTCACAACTTTCCACATCAATAGGTTCATTAACCTCCATTTATAATCAACTGTAAAGAACACCGATAATATATTTCATTAAACTACTAGGCATGTTTCATTAAACTACTAATATAACAAATTAAGCTTGCATTAATGAAGAAGTTAAAGTAAAGATGAACAATAGTCGCATCAAGATGAACAAGAGCCGCATCAAATTTCTTTTCAAAAGAATGTCCATCACATAACAACAATTTTAGCATACCACACCCGAGTTAAAAGATATCACAGAATACTACCGAACAAGCTCAAGATGTTATAAATAATGAAGAACAGTCCACTAAGCCTTTTCCTAACTAGTCTTGCATTCAGAAAAGCTTCATCTTTTCTGTGGAAATATAATTCCTCAGCTCATACATACACTAGTTTGGTTTGTGCATTAGATCATAAACCTTCACAAATCATACACAAATAAAAATTATTGCATTCTTCCCTCTATTTCTTGAAACCAATTATGCATGCATATAAGTGTTAGAGATAGCTGCTTCAAAATAACGATCACCATAAAAATCAAAACCATTTGCAAAACAATAATTTCATAAAAAATGTGAAAATATTAACCTCACGCCATCTACTTATTGACTAACATGAAAATAATTTTATTTTATCGAACTTCTCAAACATAAGCAAGGAAAAACAATAACAAGTCTCGAAAGAATTGACTACAGAGTCAGTTGCATTGAAAACTTAATAAATCGATTACAAAACCAATAAGACAGCGCCACATCATGTGAGAAAAAGACACTATTTGTCTACCCTTTGTACAAATCTGCATATATAACTTTGTATTTCCAACTTTCCACCCAACTAGAACTCGAATTTCATAAATAAATGAAAAAGATAACCAAAACTGGACAAAAAATTAAGAACACACCGACAGAAAAGTCATATACCATGTGAATATTACAAGATATAATCTAACCTGGAAGACACGAAAAAAATGACAAACGAAAGCTTTAGGCTAATCTATAAGCTCGAAATCGCATCGAATAAGAATCTACTCTATCCCATTCATGAAGCGAAGGACAATATTTATAATTTCTATCATTGAATTCAAGAATAGAAAACACAAGTTGGTATATGAAAGCACTGTCAAGCATCAGATTAGTAGAATTCCATCTAGTAGGGACATCTTGGCATAAGCCTTTTGAAATGTTAATTCCTCCCATTTGATCAGTGCATTTTTTAAATGCTTTCATTCTACTTTTCGAACCCCTTACGTATTTGACACTCTCCCTAATTTTGTTCAAGGCATCACTAGAAACTTTCAACTTTCTTGAATAATAAGATTCAAAATGTGAGCAGAACAACGAACATGAAAAAATTGTCCACCACATAACAATAATTTCTGCAAACCAAGCTGACCTTTTAAATTTCTTACCATATTGTCATTCGCAAATGCATTATCCAGATTAATGGAAAACAACTTCTCTATTCCCCATCCTTTAATAAATCAAATATTTTTTGAGATAATTCAAAACCAGTGTGAGGAGGAGGCATATGACAAAAGTTAAGAATCTTGCTATCTAACTTCCAATTCCTATCAACAAAATGAGCTATTAAACATATGCAACCCTATGTATTACAAGCTGTCCACAAATCAGAAGTTAAGGAAATCCTAGTTGGAATGCTAGCTATTATATCTTTAAGGTTCTCTTTCTCTCTCATGTAAATCGTCAAGACATCACTCTTAGCAGTATTTCTTGAAATTGGAATTGCATCAGGATTTAAGTAACTTATCTAACTCCTAATCCTTCCATACTCAACGAAATTGAAAGGCAAATCATGCTCAATAATTGCAAGAGCATACATCTCACGTAATACCATTTGATCTATTTTCTAACTTTTCAATTTACCTTGCATATCTTTCATCATTCGACCCACATCATCAAATTTAAAATTCTTGCACTTTAAAATATGACATTTCAAATGCGACGTTCCATAATTTTTTCCACCAATTTTGTATTTTTGATTACATCCATTATATTTTTCCCTCTCAATTCCATCAACCGCTACTCTATCTTGGTAATAAACTTCTAACAATCTGAAGTTTCTATTTTTGCCTTCTTTCTGCATTCAACAACAAATTGAGTTTCTTCATTCTCACAACTTTCCACATCAATAGGTTCATTAACCTCCATTAATAATCAACTGTAGAGAACAACGAGAATATATTTCATTAAACTACCAGGCATGTTTCATTAAACTACTAGTATAACAAATTAAGCATTCATTAATGAAGAAGTTGAAGTAAAGATGAACAACAGCCGCATCAAATTTCTTTTCAAAAAAATGTCCAGCACATAACAATAATTTTAGCATACCACACCCGAGTTAAAAGATATCACAGAATACTAACAAACAAGCTCAATACATTATAAATAATGAAGAACAGTCCATTAAGCCTTTTCCTAACTAGTCCTGCGTTCAGAAAAGCTTCATCTTTTTTGTGAAATATAATTCCTCAGCTTATACATACACCAGTCTGGTTTGTGAATTAGATCATAAACCTTCTCAAATCATACAAAATAAAAAATTATTGCATTCTTCCCTCTATTTTTCGAAACCAATTATGCTTGCATATAAGTTTAGAGCTAGCTGCTTCAAAATAACCATCATTGTAAAAATCAAAACCATTTGCAAAACAATAATTTCATAAAAAATGTGAAAATATTAACCTCACGCCATTTACTTATTGACTAACATGAAAACAATTTTATTTTATCAAACTTCTGAAATATAAACAAGGAAAAACAATAACAAGTCCCGAAAGAATTGACTACATAGTCTGTTGCACTAAAAATTTAATAAATTGATTACAAAATCAATAAGACAATGCCACATCATGTGAGAAAAAGACACTATTTGTCTACCCTTTGTACAAGTATGCATATATAACTTTGTATTTCTAACTTTCCAACCAACTAAAACTCATATTTCATAAATAAATAAACAATAATCAAAAACTAAAACAAAAATAACTGATAAAAAATCGAAAACAATAACAAGTTTTTTAGAGGGAAAATGAATACCACGAACGAGTTCAAGGAGAATCGTCTTCAATGCAAATGACCCAAGTACTGGTAGTTAGGGGCGAACTGGCATCTGGCGGTGTCGATGAACCAGTGGCTGAATCAGTGAATCTCGTGTAGATACAATGTATGTTTTGATGATTACAAAGTCGCAACAACAAAAAGAGAAGAGTATTAATCAAGAGCAAAAAACATCAACCATATGTGGATATTGAAGATGTATGATGTAGCCACACAAGAAGTGTAATGACATATCAAAGCAACAAGGTTATTCGATCAAGAGCAACAAGGAATAATTACAAGAGCAACACCAAGATCAAAGACAACAAACCATAGACAACATCTAAAAGAAGCTCAATATCATAATCATGGTGAAAAATGATCAGAACCAACAAAGTGTCAAGCATTGTCATATCCAACAAGTCAAAGCATCAAGCTCAAGTAAAAATCCAAGATACAAGACATGAAGCTAAATCTAAAATTATAGTTAGAATATATCTTTAGTACTTAGAATATATGTGAGGGTATATGGTAGATTGCATTGCATGAGCTCAAAGTTTTTCTCAAAGTAAATGTGTTTTTTGAATTGCATAATCATAACCTTTATATACTTGAAAGAAATTTAAAAAATCCATGGAAAAGATCCTTGACATATTTTATAACTTCAAAACATATTTATCAAGTTAAAATCTTTCACAAAAGTGGTTGGAAGCAAGCTAGAACACATTTGAACTTAAAATTTATTGCATAATTTCGATGCGGCCTTCCATACAATTTTCGTATTCAAGATTATGGATTTGGATCCTGTGTTCTTCATAGAAGTTGTAGATATTTCTTTATCTTTCCAACAAGACCAAAATCACATAAATCTGACAAGAATAGCTCAAGTTATGCCCAAAATACGAAATAATGTTATTGCTATCAAATTTCCAACCTTCCAATAGTTTGGGAATCGTTTCCATGCACATGGGAATCGAATACCACCAAGTGGGAATCGATTCCCTAAGTATAGGAATCGATTCACCCTGTGACAGAAAGCCTATAACGGCTATCAACAGCTAGTTTTGTGAAAAAATCACTATAAATACATTCCTTATGACCCTAAAACGATTTGATCACTATTCCTACACATCTTAAGGATGACTTGAGAGCTTCTACTCTATCATTTGTATATTCTTTCATATCTTTCAAAGATCAAACATATTTGAGCTTATATCTTGAAAATCCTTATACCCATAGTGCTTCAAGTTGTATATCCACACTTTTAGAGTGTATATTCATTGCCAAATATTTCTCTCCTTGTATCCTTAAGTTGAAAGGGTTGTGAGACCCATTGTTTGAGAGGTAGCCAAATATCTAAGTAAATTTGGAGTGAATTGTAAGGTTGCCAAATACCCATAAACTTGGAGATTGTAAGGTATCCAAGAACGCGAAGTCTTGGAAGATTGTAAAGGTTTGTCAAGCACCCGTGAAGCTTGACCATAAGTGAAAGAGTTGATCGAGCGGCTTCAGTTTAGACGTAGGTCACAAGTGGTGGTGACCGAACCAGGATATATTGTGTTTTCAATTCTCTAAACTTTAAACTATTTATTTCTAGAACTTTAATTGCTTCTTTGATATCTTGTATGTGCTAGAATTAGTTCTATAATTGTGATATATTATATATTATGGATTGTTTGAATGTATTGATTAGATTTTGATATACCAAAGTTTGCTTGAAATGATTATTTGGAGACTAGAAGAGGGCTTTTGCGAAAATCTTGTAATACTCAATTCATCCCCCTCTTAAGTATGGAAGCCACATTCCTAACATCTCGTGGATGAATAACGCGGCGATGAGAGAGGATGAAGACTACTCTGTCATTTAGAATTAGGGAAAATGATTTTTGCATTTCAATTTTCACAATTTTACTCTTTTACTTTTAAATTTATTTGTTAAAAAAATTAAAATTTCAAAATTAAAAATAGCAACCCGTGAGGCCAACCCGGCCCGACCCGTTATCAACCCGTTTTAACCCACTTGTAAACGGGGCGGGTTATATTGGGTTAGTGGGTTGAGACTCATAACCCAACCCGTCAACTTGAGTTGGTTAAATGAGATGACCCGACGAGCTAGGCCTACATTGCTAGCCCTACCCGATAGGGTTGATCCCGGGGTGGGGCGGGGTTTTAAAACACTGGTTCATTAATTTTAATTGTAAAAACTAGAATCACGAATGTATCTAATACTTGTTAATTAATTAGTACAAACTAAAATGGGATCATAAAATATACATAGCAGTACAACTATTTCATCATCTACTCTCTTATTTGCAACATTTTGTGTTCAGTATAACATAAGAAATAGATCAACAATACAACAATTTTATGTGTAGTTTAAAGATTAAAGCAGCATATGACAATAATCAAGGAAAATTAACCAACTTAACAAAAAAATGTTGCTATTTTCGAACAATATGTGGGAGTCTCATAATTTCTATTCATCTTGTTTTCCTTTCTACATTCAATTTTGTTGAAGTACACAATATTTTACCTTAATGGCATACAATTCTTCTTTTAAGAAATTTATACCACAAGTTCCTAAACAAAAACATAGGTTTAACAACAATTTCATGTGTAATTTAAAGATTAAAGCAACATATGACAAGAATAAAGGAAAATTAACCAACTTAACAAAAAAATGTTTCTATTTCTGAACAATACGTGGGAGTCTCATAATTTCTATTCATCTTGTTTTCCTTTCTACATTCAATTTTGTTGAAGAACACTATATTTGACCTTAATGGTATACAATCCCTTTTCTAAGAAATTTATATCGCAAGTTCCTAAACTAAAACATAGGTTTAACATTATAGTTATATTCAATCTTGATGATCCACCAATCAGCCATAACTAAATTCATATTTAATCAGTTAGCAAAGGCTTCTACATTTTTAAATAAAATCTTTATATATAACCAAAACAAAAAGATAGATAACAATCTTTAGATACTTGGGCACCAGATTTCATCCATACAATTCAAGAGTCATGTGGCTTGAACAAAGAACAAATCAAATAAGATACTTTCACAGATAGCTCTAGCTTCATCATTTATGTATGTTCCATCACTCTTCTTATGAGTATGGATGTATAATGTAATGTCCCACATCGGTTGGAGAGGGGAACGAAGCATGCCTTATAAGGGTGTGGATACCTCTTCTAGTGTGAGGCCTTTTGTGGGGTGTCCTAAGAAACAAAACCGTGAGCTCGACGGTGCTTGTGCGCGGGGCAAAGCGGACAATATCATGCTACAGGGTTTGGGGTTGTTACATTTGGTATCAGAGCCTGGCCCTGGACCGGTGTGTACAGCGGGGACGCTGTATTCCTAGTGGGGGAGGATGTAATGTCCCACATCGGTTAGAGAGGGGAACGAAGCATGCCTTATAAGGGTGTGAATACCTCTTCTAGTGTGAGGCCTTTTGTGGGGTGTCCCAAGAAACAAAACCGTGAGCTCGACGGTGCTTGTGCGCGGGGCAAAGCGGACAATATCATGCTACAGGGTTTGGGGCTGTTACATATAAACTACCCCAACTCACTCCTTGTCCAATTTTATTTATCTATTGCATTGCAAATGTTTTCAAATGTCAACAACACAAAATAGTGTAAAACAAGTGGAATGACAATTATTATAACATGATTTTAAATACTTACTATCCCTACACTCCTTTCTCGGGGCTTTTTGAATCGCCAGGGTGGTGTATTGAATGCTTGGTTCTATTTTGAGCGTCCTTTTTATATACCTCTTGCAAAATAAAACATGAAAACTTATTTAACATTAGTATTAAGATTTAAAAAGTATCTAAATATGAAATGTTGTTATACCTGAGTCATGTTGTCTAATCTGTAATCAATATATCAAGCCCATTCAGTTTACTTGATTGCCAATAGAGGACTCTTGATACTTTCTTCACGACTTTTGCTCCAATCATAGTTTTGTCTAAATAATCTTAATCTACTTTTTTTTTCACTTCCTCCTGATGACCTTCATTATGTATGAATGTTCAGCATCTTCATGAATAGAGCCCCACCATAATTTTTTCTTTACATACAGTGGTGCATTAGCGAAAACATTACATCATGTTAAAAATTATGTAAGATATATACTTAAAAATCAAACTGTCATTTTATACCTTTATTCAATTACTGCTACAATTAAAGCATCAGAAGCTACATCTATGATTCATGATAATGAAGGCAGGTTCAAACTTGTCATCACAAAAGCTAATGTGCCTAGGTAAAGCCCTTTTTCTGAATGTATTCTTGAAAAGAACATTCCTGTAATATGTCAGCTTTAGTTCAGATCTTTTAATGACTTATAATTTTATCCAAGATTTTGGTCCCATATGAACCTTCACAATAATAACAGCTATAGTTAGATTGCTTTGGAAAGACCTTTCAATATTTGGACTACTGAGCTTTTGAAGTTTACAGAAGCCTTAAGTGTGTTAGGAGAGACTAATACTGTTACTTTTTTCTCTCTTCCCTTTTCTTTTCTTTTGTTGAACATTATATCAGTTATATATGGGATTAAGCTTTGGTTTTCATAAGATAGTTACTAATTCAACATCAGTGTACATTGGTTTCTTTTTTTGCATTCAAATGCTTTTCCCAAAGCTATATTAAGGTGGATGAATGAACCTCTCTAACACCTTACCAGGTGCTAATGCTCTCTGATTTCCATGATTAAGTTATCCAAAGTGGATGACTGCACATCATAGAAACAAGTGTGTGTGTGTGTGTGTATATTTATTAAGTGAGACTAAATATCTTGGAGAAAATTATAACATCACTAAAAGCTCTAGACTACAGCTTACAGATTACATGAATATTCTTTTCAAGAATTACATTTAGAAAATAAAGGGCATCATTTCCATGCATATTAGCTTTTGTCATAACAAGTTTGAACCTGCCTTCATGATCGCGAATCATGGATGCAGCTTCTGATGAGTTAACTATAGCAATAACCGAATAAATGTATAAAATGACAATTTCATTTATAAGTATATATCTTAGATAATTTTTAACAATCTAATGTTTTAACTAATGCATCACTATATGTAAAGAAAAAAATTATGGTGGAACCTACCACAAAAATTATTGATGACCCACAAAACACCAGTTCTAACTAAATGACAGATGAAAAGAAGTAGAGTCAAAGTTACAAGATGGACAAGCTAGCCTGGTATAAGTGTTCCATCCAGATAGGAAAGTCACTAATAGGCTATTCTGCAAAATCAACAAAAGATCGCAAATATCAATAATCTATAAATTTTAGTGTGAATAAAATCTATTCTGTAAATGCTTACATGTAGGAAATCACAAATTCGATTGTCAAGACAATCCATATAAGAGAATCGAACAACAAAGGTATATTCAGTCAAATCTTAAAAGAACAAGAGATTAGAAAATGTTAAAATCTAAAAAACCCCTAAAATATGGGGGAAAAATTAGATGACATAGAAGGTGTGAAAATCTAGATAAAGAACCCTAAAATTGAATCTAACAACCACATACCTAAATTTTGATGAGTGATGAGATTGTAGTTCTCTTTAGAAAAAGAATAAAGAAATATATGTGAAATTAGCCCGAGAAAGAGACAGAGAGAAAAGTTAGGCATACCTAAGTTCCATCGATAGTTCAAAGGCAACGATGGTAGAGGAAAGATGGAAAAGTGAACAGATGGTGTAGAGAGATAGAGAACTGCTTTAGTTTAAAAGAGAATAGAATGATGCGGTTGAAGAGGTAAAGTGGTATGAGAGAAATGGGAATGATGTGAGGTATATAAGCGTTACGAAGAAAGAAAACCTGACAGAGAGAAATAATGACATGGAGCACTATTTTGAAAATTAGAACAGAGATAGGTTATTATTATTTTATTGTTTTTGAGATATTCCGGATAGGTTATTCTAATTGTCACTTTTTTTTGTTTATTTTTATTTATTATTTTCCAATATTATTATATTAGAATCTCGATACGAGAAAGTAATTGAGATTCTAATGTAACGATATTGAAGAATAATTAGGTAAAAAAAATAAGTAGAATAATCTACCCCTTTAAAAAATTTGAAAGGGTTGGTTTAACTGAACCAATACTAGTAAACTGATGTGAAAGATAAATAAACTTAAATTAATTATACATATTTATTCATAATTTTATATATTTTTTAAATATCCTTATGATATACAAGATAATTATTAATAAAGACCTACGAATTAATAAAAATAGTAAATTAGTAATAATGACATGTGAATGGCGCAGATTACTACCAAGAGTGAGCGTTAACAATTTAAGATTTAAATCAAATATAAATAACTTTCTAATTTGAAGAAGGATTTGAATCTAATTAATAAATAATAATCCGATATTGTAGAGATATGTACAAAATATATAATTAAGAACAATAAAATGGTGTTTTCTTTTCTTTTCTTATATATATATATATATGTGTGTGTGAGTTTAAAGTCTCTCATGTTGTAGGAGATATAATTATCTCCTACATACATAAAAGTGTATTAAACCCTTTACCAAAAAAAAAAAAGTGTATTAAACCCATTGGAGCCATATAAAGAAAAGAAAAAATATAAATCCCACATACATACATGTGTCTGTGGGCATGTGCGTGCGTGCGTACATGTAATACTTTATTAACTTTTTATATATCTTGTATATGTTTATGTAAATTGATTAAGTGTTAATATTGCATATCATAGATTGTTTAAATATATTGAAGAGATCTTCGTATACCAAAGTTTGATTAGAAGAGGGCTTATCAAAAAAAAGAAGAAGAGGGTTTTTATGAAAAAGTTTGTAATAGCTAATCATCCACATTCAATACATCAAAAATGAGTTTAAGCGGAGGTCGTATTTTGTATTTTGAGATGGTCTAAAATGTTTTGCTACAATTATAAAAACACAATTAAATATGGCACCGCTAAACTATTTCCCGGCATTCTTTTGTCGCCCACGGGAATAATCGTATGCGAATTTAACTTCAATTTGATTGCGATAATTTTAGCTGCAGCCATTGTTGTCAAAAACTAGTGTAAAAACGTAAAAACTTACGTTTTTACGTTTTTATTAGAGTGGTGCGTGTTAAAACTCAAGTAAAAACTGTCATTGGTAAAAACTGGTAGAAACGTTGCGTAAAAATGGTATAAACTTACGTTTTTACCGTTTTGGCCGTTTTTACTTAAAACTAAAAATTTAATAAAAAAAGATTTACAAAAAAAAAAACCTAATTTTTCGTTTTCCCAAATCATATTCACAATATCTTAATATCTTTTTATTTGGATATGTTTTTTGGGAAAAAAGTATCTAATGTTACTTTAGATAACTTTGTCTAATGTTCATTGAAACGACGTCGTTTTGGGTTGAAAAATAAAAAATAGAATGATAAAAACTATTATAACCCTGAAATAAATTAAAATTACAAAAATACCATGATTTCCGCTCCAAAATGACGTTGTTTTGGCGAACATTAGATAACGTGTAGAAAAACAAACCCATGTTTTTTTATAAGGGAAAAATGTTTCTGCAGTTAATGCAGATAAGTTATCAGCATTTATTCCCAAAAAGACGTCGTTTTGGTATTGAAATCTTAAAAAATTATGAATATAAAGACTATTATAACCTTGAAATAAATTAAAATTACAAAAATACCATGATTTCCGCCCCAAAACGACGTCGTATTGGCTTACTGTAGATAAGTTATCTGATGTAACTGCAGAAAAAACGAACCCTTTTTATAATTATATCTTATAAAACTGCAATTATATTATAAGTTATGCTATGAGAATCGTTTTGTGTTTTTGGATTATTATGTGCATTGAAAGAAGTGAAATTATATCCTGATGAGCGATAATCCAAAATCTGCAGAGTTTATAAAGCAATTAGAGCTGATTGGTTATTCATTACTTGTTAATTATCACTGTTTAAAATTTTGATACTTGGTTATGAAAAATAATTTTCCTTTTTAGATAGATAAGTGGCTCAACACACATGTTCATTATGTGATATTTTTTTACATGCATATATATAATTTTGTATCTTAACCTTAAGTGGTAGAAAGTAGAAACTTTATGTTTCGTGTCGTTTCTACGTTTTACGTTTCTTCCACCCCTTTTCGTTTCTACGTAAAAACTCGAGTTTGACAACATTGACTGCCGCTAAAAAAAAGAAAAGAAAATAGTGGTCTGTTTGAATTTGTTTTTGTTTTTTAAATTTTAAAAAACTATTTTGAATAAAAATTTTAAAATTTGATTTTGAGAGTTAAAAAATAATAAAATTTGTTTGGTATAGTTAGATTTAAGGTTATAAACAAGTTATAGTTATTTACAAAAATATCATTAATGAAATTTCATAATTATAAGATTATCAATGTAAAGTAATTTAAAATTAACAAAAAATAAAATTTATTTCCAAAGTTGCCAATGAAGAATTCTCATATTTATAAAATTGTCATCGCAAAAATAGAAAAAAGCAAAAAATAACAATTGCAAATGTCCCTGCGTTATATAAAATTGCATTTGCAAAAATGGAAAAAACAAAAAACAACAATGGTTTTTTAATATAATACTTTTATTTATTTTAGCGGCGGTTATATATATATATATATATATATATATATATATATATATATCTTTTAAGTTTATACAAAAATTTCATTATTAATAATTAAATTTGTTAATATTTTGTCACTTTATTTACTGTAAATTAAAAATAAATACAAAATTTAAAATGTCTTACATAAAAAATCATTAAAACTAAAATAATGTACAATTATTTTCAAGTAAGCATAATAAAGGTCAAAGTACGAGTTTTTTTTTAACTAAACACAATAGAAATCAAAGTACAAGTTTCTTCAACCACACATAATAGAAATCAAAGTATTCACATTCACATTCACATTAAAGTTCAAGCTCTAATTCAAGTGGAAGATTGGTGAGCGATGAGTGAGAGAGAGAAAGGTGATCATGGGAAGAATCCTGGCAAATCAAGTGAAGAACTTGACATTCTTCAAAGAAGTAATAAGAGGAATAAAGGTGAGGGAGATCAGTTTTCAAATGATGTATCTATGATACCTAGACATGAAGGTTGGATGGAAGATGAGAATGGCCAACGTTCAACCTGGAGGAAAATTCTGATGCGTCATAATGGAGAAGATGATGAATGGGAAGGAGAGGCGTCTGCCGAGGAAGACTTAGATGGGGAGGAACCTGCTGAGGAAGAGGATGTCAACCATGGAGGAATTAAGATGTGGGAGGAAGATGATGGGCGTACTTATTTTAGTTGCACCAAAAGAGCAAGGAAGAGAATGAGGAAACCTTGGGAGAAAGCTCTGATTGTTAAACTCCTTGGGAAGAAAATTGGGGTGGAGTTTATGAAGAAAAAAATAAATGTCTTATGGGCTAGAAAAGGCAAAATCAATGTCACTGATATTGGTAATGACTTTTTGTAGTCCAGTTTAGTGAGAAGGATGATCTCAATTTTGCGTTGAACGGTGGTCCATGGATTGTTTTGGGTCATTATTTATCGTTGAGGAAGTGGGAACCAACTTTCAGACCTAATAGTGCTGGAATTGCTAAGATTGCTGCTTGGATTCGTCTACCGGATATTCCCATTGAATTCTATGATGAAGCTTTTTTTAGAAGGATTGGAAACTGGTTAGGCAAGATGATCAAGGTAGACAGCAATACAAATGCTCATGTAAGAGGACGGTTTGCAAGAATATGTGTGGAACTGGACCTATCTCAGCCATTAAAGGGTGATTATGTGCTGGAAGGATTTACCAAACAAATTGAGTATGAAGGATTAGGGCTCATTTGTTTTGGTTGTGGGAAATATGGACATAGCACCGAGAATTGTTCAGCTGCTCCAAAGCAACGCAGTTCATCCGATATTCATAATGACGATCAAATTCATCAAGAGGAACCTGACAACTCAGAATTCCATCGAAGCAAAGGATTGGGACCTTGGATGGTTGTTAACCGTCAACGCAGGAGCCGGCAACCTCCTCAGACGGCCGGTGCAGTCCAGCCAGGCGCTGGTTCAAAAACGTTACAAAGGAATAATGATAAGGGAGTTATGACCAGCGATAATCATGGAGATAATCATAGTGATAAGAGAGTTATGACCAGCGATAATCATGGTAATCATGGTAATAAGGGAGTTATGACCAGCGATAATCATGGTAGAATCAATAATCATGGTGATAAGGAGGAAATTACGCAATCACGGTTTGCAATCTTAACAGCTGGACCTATTAATGAGGAGGATCATAATCAAATAATTAATTCTGTTACTCCTCATATGGGGGCCCCTCAGTTTGAAATTCCTCAGAAAATATGGACTAAATCCAAAAAGTCCAAAGATACCCCTAGGACTAAATCAACGGTTCCTACTATGCATGCGGCTCATTCTTCAAGCACGGGTAAGAGGTGTCCAGTCCAGAGTGAAAATCGTGAAGATCATACTCCCGTTCCACCATCTCCATCAATTGCTACTCCCATGGCGGTTAGTCCTATGCAAGCAAATCAACATGATCAGGAAAATGGGATGAAAGCAGATAGCACTTTGAACCAGAATCAAGAGCAGTTATATGACACATTTCATAAAACTGGTCCTGATATATCAGTTGACAACAGCAGCGACATCCAAAATCCTAAAACCTCAACCATCTCTACGTGCATGGAGGTGGACAGAGTTCACCAGGAAGATATTTCAAGAATGAAGGATACAAGAACCTTGGAGTCTTGCGTTCAACATAGTTTTTAATGAATTTATTCTTCTGGAACTGTAGGGGAGCAGTGAAACCCCAGTTTCAAAAATCGCTTTTTTTGTTTACTAGGAAATATAAGCCTAGTATTGTAGTGATTCTAGAACCTCAGTGTAGTGGTCAAAAAGCTTCTGACATTATCCGAAAATCTGGGTTTAAGCATGCTTTTGTTCAAGAGGCAGAAGGTTACTCAGGGGGTATTTGGATCCTCTGGAATGATGAGACTGGTCTCGTTGAAATTGGTAATCACACAAAACAGTTTGTTCATTTTAAAGTTCAGAATTTTCATGTTCCTTCCTTTTCTTGCACGGCAGTTTATGCGAGTCCTAGGGAAGAAAATAGAAAGGAGCTATGGGATGATCTGTTAAACATTAGTCTCCATTGTAATGGGTCGTGGTTGGTGGCTGGGGATTTTAATGAAATAGCAAATCGTGATGAGAAGGAAGGTGGCTGTAGAGTTAACTTAAACAGATGTTCCAATTTTGAAAATGTTCTTCATAATTGCAAGCTGCTGGATCTTGGAGGATCAGGTCCTTGGTTTACATGGAAGGGTCCGAAGTTTCTTCATCTTGATCGTGTTTTTAAGAGGCTGGACCGAGCCTGTGCTAATGCAAGTTGGAAGACTACCTTTACTGATGCTGGCGTTAAGGTACTTCCACGGATTTATTCTGATCATAGTCCCATTTTGGTCTACTTGACTAACTTGGACACAGGTTGGAAAAATCGTCCCTTTCGCTTTGAGATTGCTTGGATGGAGCACTATAACTTTACTCAGTTTCTGGCTAGGAGCTGGAATGTTGTGAAAGACAATAGAACGAATCTGCATGATCTGACTCCAAATTTAAAAAGATGGAACAAGGTAGTCTTTGGCAACATTTTCAACAGGAAAACTAACTTATTGCATAATATTGCAGAAATTCAGAATCATGTTGATTATCATACCAACTTATCTCTCCAATCTAGAGAAAAGGAGGTTAGGAAGGACCTTGATGCGGTTCTCATACAAGAGGAGATCTTATGGTTTCTGTTAGAATATTAGATATGATATGATTAGATTTGATTAGATATGATTGGATTCTGTCTTATCCGTAAATAGTCTGACTGTATTCTGACTGTATTAGGATTAGGTTTGGATTAGGTTTGGGCCTTACACTTAAGCCCATTAGGATCTCTATATATTGTAACTCCCTGACACAGATCAATACACAACGTATTCTTTTACATTTAACTTGGTATCAGAGCAAAGGAGGAGCGTATGTGCTTTCCTTGCTGACATGACTGACAATCTAAAGTTTGAAGACCGGATAAAAGAGGAACCATCTTTTGCAATTTCGCAAGACTAGGATGCCCGAGACGACTGTGGATGAGCTGTGGAGATTCTGTGAGAGAACAAGTAACTGAAGGACTCGGCACATCAAGGTAGAACAGACCCCGTGACTCACGGCCCACTCCAATCATCTTCCCCGTACCCGGGTCCTGCACAGAAACAGAATGGTTTGAGAATGTGACAATTCAATTAAGAGAATTGATCAATTTACTAACCGATATTAAATTATAAGGGATGTGAGGAATGTAATAGACAGATGTCAAGGTCAATGAGGAGGTTGGACAGATTTGTCCAATCCCATGAACGGGGGCCTTAGTTCCATCAGCAAGAGTAAAACCTAAGCCCACTGCGTAGTAGTCATCTTTTCTTTGCCGTGCGTCCTTCCGGTAAGATATCAAAGGTTGTAAGTCCTCTCCAGGCATCTTTTGCATGTGTCCACAGTCACCGGAGCACCGTTAGCCACCGTCAGCCACTGTTCAGGCTGCCGGAGTACTTTTCCGGCGAGTTTTCAGTCTGGAACGAACGCGAACAGAACCCTCTCCTCCCGGCGACCTGCTCTCTGGAAGTCTGGCCACCATCGGAGTTGTCACGCGCTCTCACGCGCCTCCAGTCTTCTCTGCACGTGGGCTTCACGCGCCACCTTCTGCCGGCGCGTGATCACTATTCCGGCGGCTTTTTCCGGCCGGTCTTGGACAGAGAAGCTCGTCTTCTCCTCCTCTTTCTGGATCTGTGGTTGGTTCTTTGTGGGTCTGACTTTTTGTGCGCACCTCTTCTTGATTGGTGATCAGGTTCGTTTCTCTTTATTCGGTTTGTATCTTTGTGATTTGATACTATGGCAGCAAACCCTCCAATTCATTCGGAGGTCAAGTCTCCATCTCCTCCTTTGAGAAATTCTCCCAATATCATCTCTACCAATATTGGGTCCATTACCTCTTCAAAATTGAAGGGATCTGTTAATTACAAGAACTGGGCCACCTCTGTTCGAGTTTGGTTCTTTGGACAAGGATATGGGAACCATCTCACAACTAAGTCTACTGATGTCCCTAAGGAGGACAAGTCTGATTGGGAAAAGATTGACAACCAACTTCTGAGTATCCTCCGGCAATCCATTGATCCGATTGTCTTGGATATCTTTTATTCATTTCAAACTTGCACTGAAGTGTGGGAGGAAGCAAAAAACCTCTACACTAATGATGTTCAACAGCTCTATTTCATCATCTCTCAGTTTATGGAATTGAGCAAATCATCCGACATTCAGATGGAGACATATATTGGCAAGAGTCGCTCTTTGATGCAGGCATATTTGGATATGCTGCCTTACCCTACTGATGCTACTGCATATCGAAAACAGGTGGAACGTCTCTTTATGGTTGCCACACTTTCTGGCCTTCCCGAAGAATATGATAATGTTCGTGATACTATCTTGACTAGTGGGGAACCTGATCTATCCATGACGTATCAGCGTCTTCTGAATTTGAATAAGAAATCTGCTCCTGCATCGTCTTCTGCTGTTGATTCTACTGCTCTAGTTTCCCGTACTGATTTTCGCGGGCATATTGGAGGTGGACGTGGTCGTGGTAGAGGCCCAGGAGGCCCAGGAGGACGTAGCCCAGGAGGTCGTGGCCCAGGAGGCCCAGGAGGTCCAGTCGGACGTGGTCAGCGACCTCGTTGTCATTACTGTCAGCAACTTGGTCATTATGAGGAACGTTGCTACACCAAGTATCCTCACATGCGACCTTCTTTTGCTGCTAATGTAGCTCAATCGGATACTGCTTCAAATGGTTCAGTATCTCTCTCCTCTGAAGAATATGCAGCATTCCAGGCCCTTCTCAGGAAGTCCTCTCCTCAATCTCAGGCCTCTGCTTCAGAAACTGGTAATCCTGTTGCTTGTGTTTCTCATTCTGCATCACTTGGTCCTTGGATATTTGACTCAGGTGCTACTGATCACCTCTGTGGTAATAAGGAACTCTTTTCTTCCCTTACATATTCTAATAATTTACCCTCTTTTACTCTTGCTGGTGGAACTAAGGCCCCCGTTCATGGGATTGGACAAATCTGTCCAACCTCCTCATTGACCTTGACATCTGTCTATTACATTCCTCACATCCCTTATAATTTAATATCGGTTAGTAAATTGATCAATTCTCTTAATTGTATTGTCACATTCTCAAACCATTCTATTTCTGTGCAGGACCCGGGTACGGGGAAGATGATTGGAGTGGGCCGTGAGTCACGGGGTCTGTTCTACCTTGATGTGCCGAGTCCTTCAGTTTCTTGTTCTCTCACAGAATCTCCACAACTCATCCACAGTCGTCTCGGGCATCCTAGTCTTGCGAAATTGCAAAAGATGGTTCCTCTTTTATCCGGTCTTCAAACTTTAGATTGTCAGTCATGTTAGCAAGGAAAGCACATACGCTCCTCCTTTGCTAATCGAGTCAATAAACGAGCTGATGCTCCTTTTTTAATTATTCATTCAGATGTTTGGGGTCCTAGTCGTAGTGTGTCTATTTTAGGTTTTCGGTATTTTGTCAACTTTATTGATGATTTCTCCCGTTGTACTTGGATTTATTTAATGAAAAACCGTTCTGAGTTGTTTTCTATTTATCAAAAGTTTTCTGCTGAAATTCATACTCAATTTGGTGCTTCTATTCGTATTTTACGTAGTGATAATGCTAAGGAGTATGTTTCTGTTGACTTTTCTCACTTCTTAGCCACACAGGGTACTTTACACCAAACCACTTGTCCTCACACTCCACAACAAAATGGAGTAGCTGAACGTAAGAATAGACATCTCATTGAGATTGCCAGGACTCTTCTTATTCACATGCATATTCCTCTTCACTTCTGGGCTGATGCAGTCCTTGCTTCTTGCTTTCTCATCAACCGCATGCCTTCATCTGTGCTTAATAATGATATTCCTCATAACTTATTGTTTCCAGATGTTCCTCTCTTTCCTCTATCCCCACATGTTTTTGGTTGTACCTGTTTTGTTCATGATCTCACTCCTGGTAAGGATAAGTTAACATCCAAAGCCTTTAAATGCATTTTTCTTGGTTATTCTCGTCTTCAAAAGGGTTATCGCTGTTACTCTCCTGACCTCAAGCGTTACTTAGTTTCCGCGGATGTCACCTTTTTTGATCGACAACCCTTTAATTATATCCCATCTCCATTGTCACAGGTTGATCATGTTCTTCCTGTTCCTTTTCTTGACTTGTCTTTGCCAGATGCAGGTGCTTCTACTCCAGATAAGCCATCACCTATTGCTCCAGTACCTAAGGACCGTCCACTTCTCATTTATCAACGTCGTAAGACAGTACCTCCAGTCGACTCGACCCCTGCTGACTCATTGCCCTCTGCAGTTGATTCTTCCCCTCCGGATCCTTCACCAGAGGCTCTTCCCATTGCTCAAAGAAAAGGTACACGTACTACTCGTAACCCTTATCCTCTTTATACCTTCTTGAGCTATGATCGCGTTTCTCCTCCTCATTTCACCTTTGTTTCTAGTCTTTCTTCTGTTTCTATTCCTAAGACCACAGGTGAAGCACTTTCCCATCCAGGATGGCACCAAGCGATGCTTGATGAGATGACCGCACTTCATACCAATGGCACTTGGGACCTTGTTTCTGCTCCTCCAGAGAAGTCTATAGTTGGTTGTCGCTGGGTGTTTACTGTGAAAGTTGGACCTAATGGCCATGTTGATCGTCTCAAGGCACGCCTAGTTGCCAAGGGTTTTACTCAAATTTTTTGCCTTGATTATAGCGATACATTCTCTCCAGTCGCTAAGATGCCGTCCGTCCGCCTATTTCTTGCCCTTGCTGCTGTTCGTCACTGGCCACTCCTTCAACTTGACATCAAAAATTCCTTTCTTCATGGTGATTTACAAGAAGAAGTTTACATGGAGCAACCACCTGGTTTTGTTGCTCAGGGGGAGTCTGGGAAGGTATGTCGTCTTCGAAAATCCTTATATGGTCTCAAGCAGTCTCCTCGAGCATGGTTCAGTCGCTTCAGTTCTGCTGTACAGGCGTTTGGCCTAATTCGCAGTAAAGTTGACCATTTTGTATTCTATAGGATTACATCTCCTAACAAGTGCATCTATTTGTTAGTCTATGTTGATGACATCATCCTCACCGGAAGTGATCAAGACGGAATCCATCAGTTAAAACAACATTTATTCAGTGCATTTCAAACAAAGGACCTTGGGAAGCTGCGTTACTTCTTGGGAATTGAGGTGGCGCAATCTAGACAGGGCATTTCTATCTGTCAAAGGAAGTATGCCTTGGATATCCTAGAGGAGACTGGTATGTTGGGGTGTAAACCAGTTGATACACCAATGGATCCTAATGTTAAGTTATTACCCAGACAGGGGGAGCCGTTATCTGATCCTGGACGTTATCGAAGGCTGATTGGGAAGCTCAATTATCTTACTGTGACTAGGCCAGATATTTCTTTCGCTGTCAGTACGGCCAGTCAGTTCCTTGATTCCCCTTGTGATTCACATTGGGATGCTGCTGTGAGGATCCTCCGATACATCAAAGGAGCACCAGGAAAAGGTTTGTTGTATTCGGATCAGGGAAATACAGAAATTTGTGGTTACTCATATGCCGATTGGGCAGGATCACCCTCGGACAGACGCTCTACTTCTGGTTATTTTGTCTTCTTCGGAGGAAACTTAATCTCATGGAAAAGCAAGAAACAACCTGTTGTTTCCCGAT